GGACCTCAAAGGAATTAACATAATGAGACCATGCCCTGTTTGTGGTCTGCCTGCTGATTCAAATGGAGCTTAAGGATTCTGGCCAGCCATCTAGTGAGTGCAGTCAACTGGCATCCTCATTAGCCTCCATCCAGAATACTGTCTCAAGAGAACCAGTTTTCCACTGACTGAGAAAAGGCTTAACACAAGCTAGCAGGGTGGTCAAACTCCACAATGACAGTCAAGCACACAGAGCAGGACAAAACAGTGAAGCACTACTCTTCAGAGGACGCCACCTTAGCTACAGGAGACTAGAGTTACACAGAGTCACGGTGACAACCTGCTAACAAGCTATACAAGTACAGAGTCAGATCACATTACAGGATAAAGTTACAGTCACCGAAGATACAGCATAGGGTGTGTGTGTTCCTGTCTTTTTGAAGGTCCCAGGTAAATGCCACCAAGAAGCAAACATGCACACGCACACGCGCACGCACACGCACACACACACACACACACACACACACACACTTGCAGCTAAACCAATCCAGATCTTAGGCTTTTCATAAAATACTCTGTCAATGTACTCCTTCTGCTTCACAGTCAGGAACTGATGCTGGGATACAGACAACGGTCTGAATCAGGTCTAAAGAAGAAGATACCACTCCATCTGTTATGTCCAAACAAATTAAAGTACGCCTCGCGTCGCCATTTAGCTGAGAATTTATATAATTTATCTCCTTGCATCCACAGGAGATTCACCAGAATAGTGACTGGTATAAATCAAAAGCTGTGGAACCATGTATGTCTCATCCTTTTCTCTTAATTCCCACATTTTTCAACAAAAGAGGCAATTTTCTCAGTTAAGTAAATTGGTCAATGTCGTTTCAATATGTGATATCTCTTTTTATAAACTGATGTGCTTTTTCATGCTTCCCAAATGTAATTCTTGTTCTGAGTTCTGTAAACTATTCTTCTTGCTTAAGTTAAAAAAGCAGGAGACTATCATAAAAGACAGAGCAGACAGGTCAGTGGAGTCTATATACCGTAATATAATGTCTCAATAGCCTTTTATTTACTTCAGTATAAATAATTACCCTGCCATTATTTGGGACAGGGGTCGATACAAGATGGGCCTTTAATTATTTTCAAACAAAACGCCTGCACAGCAAAGATGGGAAAGGCTGAAAAATTGTAATTTTTCACCAGAAATAATGTGTAAATGTATAAAAAACAATATCGATAAACAATTCAAATTACAAATCACTGATTTGATGTTACGTATGTTTTTTATGAATAAACTATTCAACACTCAATGCAGAGGGGCCTCCAATTGAGACTTGCCCTTATATTTCAAAACCTGCAGAAACACCAGTCTAGTAAAAATTGGGGGGGGGCTCTTATTTGAAGTTTTACGGTACCAACAATTCCTGTAACAAAGGGCAAAGTTAAGATAAACAATACTGTGAAATCAAATCCAGAACAAATATTGACATTGGCCACATCTCCTGGAGGGATTATTGGCACTCAGTGTAACTACTTTATCAGGAGGTTCATATCCTTGTTTCAAGGCAAACACAATTCCACACAGTTTTGTTCTGCTTTGTTTACAATTAGAAATAAAAATATGAGGGATTGTGGTCTCTAAGTATAAGAGTATAGTTTAAACTGATAGTTTGCCACACTATAAGTTGCCTATAAGCTTGTAAACCATGTGCAAAATGTCTCTACAGCACTATTTACTAAAAGATGCTCTTTAATGAGGGTATGTTCATTTGGACTTTCTACTACTTTGGTTCTGCGTTTTGTTGTGTAAAGTGTTTCATGATGCAAGGAGACTAAATAAAAACCAGACATGATGTTTGCATATAAGTATTAACATTTATTGTCTGACTTCTCCCTCTATTTTACCATTCCTCTTTTACCTATATTTCCACTCTTGCTCCCCTCCCTAACCTCTCCCTCACCCAACTCAGTCTTTTTTTCCACGCTCACCTCCTCTCTCTCCTTGCCAGCTGGTCTGTTGGCTATTGTTCCTGACAAGTTCAACATAGATTGGTTTGACTACAGTCATGCTTACTTAACCTACTTTTAGGGTATTTTCTAAAGTGTATGGTTGTAGCCTGGGGATTCAACCGATAACATTTCTGGATACCATGGAAGAACGTACTGTATTTCATACTGCGTCACCCATACTGGTGCTGGTTCCATCCATTTAACATCCCACTCACTGTTCATTATCCTTTACTGAACAACTGTGATGCTACAGTGCAAAGTAATCTATCAATCTCAAACTCCGCCCCTGTTTCTTCTCATAGGGAAGAGGAAGCTAATGGAACTCAAATGATCCAAGCTTTTATCCTCGACTGTAAACATCACATCTAATCGCTCCTCTTCCCATCTTTATTTTCTATTCAACAATTACTGACCTCATGCCCGCCAGCACTTTTTTTTTTCACACTTCTGTCTGAGTCCTTCAACATGGACAAAGACAGGTTTTTGCCATATGAGTAGTACACTATGAGATCCATAAAAGGTTGTGTCAACCAGGAGAAGAAGAATGATTCCTGAGAAAACAGAGTAACAACAGATAAGTTCAGTTATGTTTGGTGTAAAAGATAAATTAGAAAAAATATTTTTGATATATATAAACAGCTGTGTTAGATAAACAACAATTGGGGCACTGGTGGTGCAGTGGGTTCAAATCTGACCTGTGGCTCTTTTCCCGCATGTCACTCCCTACTCTCTCTCCCTGATTTCCTACTCTATCCACTGTCCAATCTCTACAATAAAGACACAAAAACACCCAAAAATAAATCTTTAAAAAAAAGAAAAGATAAACAACAATTTGGCATCTTGAAAATATTTTTTCCCAAACTTGTACATTTTCACCCATCTTTCATCAATCGCTTTATTTTTTCTTCTTCATGCATCCAGCTCTTCTGAAGGACAAAGGAATGGTCAACAGATGAGGAGGCTGCCATCAGGCACTACTCAAGACTGTAAAAATATTGTAAGATTTTGAGTGAAAACTCCTGAAAATTCTGCTGAATATCATTCAAAGAAAGGACAGGGTGGATAGCATGCAAATAATTCAAGAGACCAATTACCTCCATAAATCGATCCATAAAACGCTAACACAATGTACCTTACATAATAACATGTTAAGTCCGAAACTGATCTTTCCCCGCTTGTATTTTGGGTTGAACTATATGGACTGTCAAATATGCAAAGAAACTGTAAAAACAAATACACATGCAATTCAATGATGAAGTCTCTCTCTCCCTGTGACAGGAATAGGATTTCAGTCTGTCACATCTATCCTATACTCTCCTCTACCAACTTATTTTCTCATTTCCTTTCCTCCTTTTTCCTTCTTCAGCAAACCAAAGATATACTACAATATCTAATATACTACAGTCATTTCATTTCATTCCTTCTATCATTGCCAGTATCTTTTCTCCCCCTCCCTTAGCAAGATGAGGATTATTCCGTGTAGATTAACAGCCTTATGTGTCTTCCTGCTCTCTACCCTTTTCCTCCTTTTGCTCTTTCTCCTTCATCTCTTTTTAAAGCCATTCCTCAGTCTTAATCTCTCCTTTTTCTCTCATTCTTCTCTTACTCATCTCTCTTTCTCTGGCTCTCTCCACCAGCAGGGAACAGTAGATTACCTCCTGTGAACTACAGTAGTGGTGTGATTAGCAGCAGTAGTTAAGATGACAGAGCAATCATCTAAACCTATGGCTGCAGAGAAAAACCACCAGTCTTGGTATTACAAAGACAGCTTTGATCACAGGGATGAGTGCCATCATCTGCTGATCCAGTGTGTGTGTGCTCTATTCATGCATTTGTGCAAAGACATATTTTAAAAAAAACTGCTCCAAAGTGGGTTAATACCACTATAAGAACACATTTTTCAAAAACTGTTGAACAATATAAATTCAACATAAATTTACTGCATGTATTCATTCCCACCACTTCAGCTGCAGAATGTATTTCCTCTGTTGTTTCACAGTGCTAATGCCACCCAAGTGCCAACCAAAGCAGCCTTAATCAATTCACTGTCGTCAGTGGCAATGATGCCTTTCAACTCGCCCCCTTTTAAATGAGATTTGCAATAAAAAAGAACCCCAGGCCTTTGTATTCAGTGGCAGGAGGCTCCTTTGGCTCTCTTGAGTCGCCTGTCTATGATGTCTGTGCAGCACACGATCTCCACTGCTAGATAGATAGAGCAGATGCTTCAGCAGAGGGGAGCCTCACATCAGCCTTGATATTCTCCCATTTGCATATCAGCTTCCCCTCTTTTTCTCCCTCCCTCCCTCCTTAACCCACGCTGTCAGAAATTAATGATCTGCAATTACACAGCATGTGTCAGTGCAACTAAACATCATTTAATAGTGCCAAGCTGACAGTGGGCTACAAGGCTGAGCAAGAAGAGACACAAGAGTCACAATTAATGTCCCATGTTCTCTACCCTGCAGCAGTCACTTGAACACAAGACACATTAGCTGGAATGTGAAGTTTTTAAACATACAAGTTCCAATAAAATGCGAAAATGTAACAGTACATGACTGTTACAGGAGTGTTAAAATGATCATTTTAAGTAGAAATAGTTTAGTATATTAGTCTACAAAAATTAAGCCTATGTTTTCCTTACTGCAAACAAGATCACCACAAAAGTCCTTATAATTGGAAAAAATATATATTATCACATTTCCTTACATTTAACAATAGTCTTCTTTCATCAATATCCATTTTTGAATGCCTTAAATTTTAAGCATGTAGCCTAACTTACGTCTTTTATCTAAAACTGCGCAAATAAAAACTCAAAGTCCTTTAAATTGAGCGTATTGACTTTGTTGTTTGTTACAATGTTATAATTATAGTAAAGTTGTCTCCCACACTGCAGTTCTCATTAAACTCTCATAGAAAGAAAAAACACTGAAACACTGAAGGCTAACCTTTAAGACTAGCGAACTAAATAAGTACAGTAATTAGCATCATTCAGTTCTATTACTTACGAAATGCGAGTCCTCTGATGCTTTATCGAAATATATCCTTCAGCTTTGTTTGCCGCAGACACTTTTATTTAAAGTTTGCACACAAACGCACACACATACACACACACATGCCCCTCACACACACTTAAAACACACTCACATGCAAGGTGCTCCAAACTGAAGCGCTGTCCCTCCTCTGTGCTAGACGCTGTACGAGCTTCCTCAACTATCACCTGCCATGTGATGCCTTCATGGGCTGCTCGTAATACTTCGCGGGCTCAAGTTCAGGTCGTTAGATACAAATTGGACCTTTTTAGAATTAGAGCTGGAAAGAGCAAACTTACTATATGTATGTCATTTGTTTACACATCGCGCATTGCCAACATTATGCCTCTCAATGCATTACAAACCTCCACGTTAATTACTGTAAACTTCGTTGCAATGTCAATTGTGGAAAAAACACAATCGAGATATATAAATATATAAATTATATATATATATTAGTTCTTCAGTTTGCCTTCCTTACAACTTCACATTTTTCGGTACTAATATGGGAAATAGGAGGGGAAGTAAACATTTCATAATCCTACACAAATTAAATCCTGTAGTAAATATAAAAGATGGAAAATTTCGGTTTCTCTGAACTGTCGTGAATGCCACACAGTCGATAACTAAACGTGGGATATATTTAGTAATTATTCATCAGGTTAAGACAACGATTTGTTTCTTTGAAGGAAACCTGAGGCTTTGAATTGTTTTAAAAGCTGAACTAAGAAAAAGAAACGTGCAAATAAACAGCTACCTTACAACAGGGGACTGGTGTTTTGACTTTTGCCCCGTAGTTTATTTTATATGACTCAACACTGTCATCTAGTGGTTAAATATTTGATTGCAAATACAAAACAAAAATAATGTGTAGCGTTATTATTGCCGAACATTGTTGAGGCCACTTTATTTGTACCTGTCATCGACCTAACACATTGCTGTTCCCTGTAGATCAAGTAAACTTTATTTGATATTTACTCATTGAAAATACTGAACTTGTATATTTATGATAACGAATATGTATAAGTGAATAATTACTTTTGATTAGTGCCTGATGACCCCTATGAAGACAGTTTACGTCTTGTTGACCTTGTCAATTTGTGGATTAATTCAATTATTTGGATCTGGAGAGCCATGCCTCATTAGCGAATCAGGTTAAGCTGCTCTTACAAAACAAGTGTGTGATATAAGATGTCCACCAGGGCATGGAGACAGAACTTTTGAAGTATGGAGTTAGACGATTCAGGATCACTGCCTGATTAGCTGGTTTCTCCTGATGATATCTTATTAAGTCTAATTTAAATCTAATCTAAGTTATTCCTATTAAACTGAAAATAAAAGCTCATTGCCACAGATGTATTGTTTTCAAGATGATAAATATGATCTGTATCAGTACAAACAAGTATACCTTGAGAGTGGCAATGAGAGATGAATACAAACAAATAAGAGCAATGATCCAAATAGTTCAATAGAAAGAAAGAGAGAACTAATCATACATTTAATATGATCATGCTGGTATTGATATTTTAAGATGGGGTTTGTATTTATTCACACTCCATCCGAGTGCTGTATCCGAAAAAATCCACAACTATGTAAATCCCGGGGTGGATCAAATCTGGAAATTGCTCTGGTAGCTGAAGAGGTGCAAGATCACTTCCTAAGCACTGCTGAGGTGCCCTTGAGCAAGGCACACACACCCTCCCCCCAGCTCAGGAGTGATCGCGGTGGGCAGCCCCCTTACTCTGACGTATCTCCATTAGTGCATGTCCGTAGCATCCTGTTTTATGCATGTGTGTGTATTTCATCCTATGTGTGTGTAGCATGTCTCAATAAAAGAGTGTACACATTTTATATTATTTGTATAATAATAATTTTTACATTTGACATTTTTGGAAATAAATGTGTCTTAGGCTAATTACTTAACTATACTAACAAAACAAAAAACAAAAAAGTACAGCGACACCTACTGCCCATAGGTAAAAAATAATAATTTCTCATCAACTCGTGAGACCACTTCGTCAGCTTTTCAGTGTTATGTCAGAGTGTCGAAATGTAAAAAAATAACCATAAACTAAAGTGACCATAAACCGTTAATATTGATTTTGACCCATAGGTCCTACTTCATCATTTCAGAGTATAAAAATACCGTAAAAGACAATAAGGGGCCGGGTCAGCTAGTGTCACGGACCTACAAACTCGTTGACTCGTAATGCAGTGTTCTCCCCACGCACACACTCATAGCCATGTTACTCTGACTGTCATTGGTCGAGTAGAACGTCCGTCATACTCCCCCAGCTGGTTCTGACATTTGATTGGCTAGAGGCGCACCTCCGGCGGTGGCTCACACGCCATTGGTTAAAAAACTAGGTTAGTGGTCCGACAGGCATGACGGTGAAGAGAAACTGGGTCACCGATCGAGAATCGTTTATGTCACAGTTCTGTGGGTTGCTATTACATTTTTTCCAGCTGCTCCCAATGGATAGACTAATTTCGTTGGACCGAGTGTAAGTATCTAATGTGTTAATTTTGTGCTATGCGTATTGCATTGTGTAACCGTCTGTATAAGCAGTGTTGATTTTCGACGATGTTTTCCCGGTGGTCATGTCAGTGTGGTTTTCTAAAGCAGGAGGGACACTAGCTCGCTGGTCAAGTCTTGACATTTAGCATTCCTTAGCTAGGAGTAGTGAAGAAAATAGGTTGTTATTGATAAAGGTGTGGAAACCTCCCCCATGTATGTCATTCTATCTTTAAGTGTTGACATTAATCACCAGGGCCAGCGGGCTCTAACACATCGGTAAGTGCTGTTTTATGTGCTCGTTGCGTGTTAAAATAATGCGACTGGGAGAACACTGCTAACCCAGGCTAGCATGCTAGCGATGTAAACAGGCCTTGGTAGGTATCTGGTACACGGGTTTCTTCGACAGCCTACATAATTCCACGATAGCTTCAAACACCCATCTCCCTAAAATGCTACAATCTTAACCCACACCGAGGCCATACCTTCTTCAAAACGCTAAGGCTACTGTTTGGTTATGAAATATCGTGATATAGTTGTTGGCATTGGCAGCGGAAGTGGGGCAACCATTGGTTTCTGCAGTGTCCGCAGTGGTTGCCAAGAGATGATCATGGTTGAGCTTTTGGCAATTTGGTTGAATTGTTCATTAGTGTTATGATATAGATGGTGTTACCAAACGTGAGCCAAAGGAGCTTTAGGTTTCCATGGGGGCTTCTGCTGGTTTCCATCAAGGTTATTATTATTTCATATAGAATAGAATTACTTGATTGATCCCAAACTGGGAAATTGTGGTGTTACAGCAGCAGGTTGTCCAAACACACAATATGAGCAAAAAACACAATATAATATTAAATACAAAGTAAATAAGCACTGAAAATATCAAAACTAAGAATGGGAATATATACACCAGGATTTAACTTAGCAATACTAGTCTTAAATATGGAAGATTAAATGTAAATGTGCAAAAATAGAGTTGTAAATGGACAGTATTGACATAAGTTAAAGTATATATTTTTTCTCAACAAGTTAACCTTGTGCTCCATCAACACCAGTATGAATCCTTACACATTGGACATAAGCTTCCTAAGGTGTCACTTTGGTCTGTTATGGAGATATTTCAGGAGCCTTGTTCCTTTTATGGTTAACAACGAGATTATAATCATCTTTTATATTGGCTGGATTGTGTTTTCTCATTACTGTAATACTCTTTCATTTGTCTGCCTTACGGTAGTGTTATCAGTCGTTTATGTATTAACTGTCTCATGACAGGGGAGAAATCCTCTGAACTTCAGACTTGGACTTACAAGTGTTGTTACTTGTTACCCATATAAGAAGCAACTATAGGTTATCAGTACTCATCAATGAAGCTATGAAGGCGCTTGATAAGAGAGCTTGCTGTGATGGTTTAGCAGGTTACTGTACCGTTGACCATGGAAATCAACAACAAACAAGTCATTGCTTTATTTAAACCTGTTGTTCATGGAAACATTGTTTGAAGTTTAATAAAATAAAGGGGGGTAAATTTGAAATAATGTTGACTTGTACGTTTTAATAACTATGAACGTCCCCTTGTGCCTTCTTCTCTGTCTCATCATGACCTAAAATGTTTATTTTTTGTTTTTTTCTTCCTCATTTTGATATTGTGAGTAAAATAGAAACGATCCCAGAGGAGCATACACAAGCAGTATTTGTCAATCTTCAAGTGTCAAATCATTTTTGTGACATTGTTAGGTTAAAATCTGATGTTGAGGTTGAAATAAATTTGACTTAGTTTTCTACTAGTGTCACCAATTTCTCAAACTTGGACCCTGAAGTAATTATTCATTGGTTTAATTTACATTTTTGCTGTATTGCTCAATTGTATCCCATCTGGATGCAAACTTAGATTTGCCCCCCCTCCCCTAAACTCTACAACTAGAGGCAAGTTAATCTGCACATCCACACACAGATGTTTTCATTCATATGACTTTTAACACCTCAACAGGTAAAGCTGTTTTGGGAAGTGTACTTCTAACAGAACAAAGATTGCAAGACAAAACTTAGTTGTGTGATTGTAAAAAAGTCTAATATAGAATAAACAACCTGAGTATTGCTATTAGCGGAGAGAGAAGCGAGAATCGGCTGCTCTTACTTTAATAATTCAAGCAGCTGTTGATCAACCCAAAACACATTTGGCCGTCATTCACGGATTATAGGATCTTGTAATCTCAGTAGAGCAACAAAATGCAGACACAAATGAATGGAGACAAAATGCAGTCTGAGCTCCTACCTTTTCTTAGTGATAAAAAAAACAAATGCCTTCAAGTGCTTTTATTAAACAGAAACGTGAAATGGCCTGATTTCATGAAAACAGATAACAGTATCGGAGCAAGCTGGCTATACACTGGTGGAAACCCTGACACATTATCCATGTCTAATCCAGATTTCAGATGATTCTTTTTAGTCTAGCTGGTGGTAAAAAGACCTAAAATTGTAGTGGGCGACAGGCATACAAAAGAAACAGCCGCCCTAGTGAGCTTTTTACATGAAAAGTTGCAGTCAAAATGTACTTTCTTCATTTGAGAGATCAAGATTAAGAATATAATTAACCATGCCATTACTGGAATAAGTCAAAACCAGTGGCTACATTCCCACACC